CTGACCGTCCTCCTTGATGAGGTTCCTCCCTGTGGAAACATCAGTCCTTTAAACACCGGCAGGGCTTGGCCGAGCCCCTGCAGCCCTATCTAGTCTTAAGGCAAACAACACTTGATTATGAGCAAATCTGTAATTCATTGTGAGGCAAATACTTCTCCATTTGGTAAGATAGTGTGTGTCAAAACACATAAATTGGCAAGGGCACCTAATGCAACCATCAGCAGGACAGAGTGAAGCAAGACAGCAACAGATCGTCAGGGTGATAATGAGACTGTGGGAAAGTTATTTGTAAACTCCTCTTTGAAAAACACCCTAAGGAGCAAGTGCTCTGATAACCAAGGGGGCTTTTGCAAGAATTTTTATGGGATTGGGGTAAGTGATACCCACCCCCTGCTGTGGCACTGGCAAAAACACTCTTATCATTTCAAGCACTGTTCACTCGGGCACCAGGTGTTTTCCCAAGCTAAGCTGCTTGCAAAGACACAACGCGGGCTCCCATCACACTCCAGGAGCAACGGGGGCTCTGCTTTGAGCTGGAAAGGGGCACAACTACTTGTAAACTTAAAGCAAAGCCTCTGCTTATATATATTTTAAGATGGAAGACTAAGCAAGCATCAGTTCTGCAGTCACCACCCATAAAAATAGCAGCAGAAGAAAGAGGCACTGTTCTTGCCGCACGAGCTGGGAATGAAAGCGTCACATCCTGATTGCCCCTCTGCCGCCTGCGCAGCTTTGTTTGTGTAAGTGCCTTGTAAAGATATTAATTGAGAAAAGAGCATTTTTAAAGCATCATTAAAAAGTGTTCAAATATTAAAACAACAACTCAGTATCAGCAGTTCCATCTGGCCCTTGACACAGTTTGGGTCCCTTTATGGCCTTCTGCGGTTCAGAAGACACCAGCTGGTGCCAGAACAGCCACATGGAGACCCCACGGTGCTGGAGGTGACACCAGTTCCCCCAGTGCCACGCTCAGGACAAGCCAACCCTCTCTGCAGGGAGGTCCCCGCTGACGCAGAGACTTCAAGCAAAGACAGACTGGGGAGCGCGGCGCTGCCCAGCTCTGTGTCAGGGTGAGCGATGAGCTGGGAAAACCAGTGCCCAGCTGCAGAGAACGTGCCAACTTCAGCTCACCCGCCAAGGCTCATCCTTAAGAGGCAGCTTGTTGCATGGAAAAGTGGGCGATTTACCAACACGAGCTCTTTTTCTCACCGTTCCCACCTAGTTGTAAAAAGCAGCTCTGCTCGTAAATGTGAGAACAACAACGCCACGGTTGGCTCCCGCCTCCAGGTTCGCTGCGGTACCCGCTGCCGTCGGGGTGTGCGTGTGGCTTCTTCCACGATGTGAGCACAGCCACGAGCCAAATGGACCTCGGTGCCCGCAGCCAAACAGGGCACCACAGCCTCGTGCTGGCCCTGGCCATCTGCTCGCACCTCTGTGGCACAGAGAGTCACTGGCAAAATAAACTTGTTTTTCAGCTGATGAGGCCCTCAGCCCAGCTCACCCCGCTGCCACGGAAAGGGATGTGTCCCCAGAGGGGCAGGCAGGGAGAGGGGCAGGGCCATAGCTGAGGACGGGCACACCATGCTACACCCACGGGCTCCCACACTTTGAGGATGGTGCCTCCTAAAGACACTCGAGCGACTTTAGCCAACCTTCAGCTGTGGGAGCTGCCTGCTGCCCAATAGGGAGAGGACCTGGTACCAGTGACAGCCCCCGTCCCACCGCACTTGGACCACATTCCCAACACTCTCATTTTCAAATCCAAGAGGCTGAAGTTAAGGATTTTTGCCCTGAAAGGCAATGGGAGTTTCTCTGTAGCTCCTGCTGCACATATAAGCTGTGGCATGTCCCAATGCCCAGGTGTGCCTGGCTTAGGCAGTTTTTAGAGGAGGCTTTTGAAGAGCAACTCCTTCGATGCTCCTTCAACAGCTCAGGGCAGAGTAAGACAACCAGCTCTTTCCAGCACTGCAGAAATTCGGATCGAGGCTGGCAGCACATCCGAACAGCGTGCACGAGCCCACCATCTGCTCCGGTGCAAAATGCAGATGTTTCACCGAGCCCCTCACGCTGCGCTCAGAGCCAGCACACCCGGTAAGATTCTTTGGATGTGTCCATTTAAACAGGATGCTGGCTCGTGCCTACGTTCCCAGCAAGGAATTTGCTCCTTCTCCATGAGCTGTTCATTTTGCAACAGTACTGGGTGCAATTTTGGGTGCAGACACTAAAACTCATTTTAGAGAGGTCACCAGGAGCGATCCAGGGATCCCTCATCTCAAGCAGCACTATCCCACTGGCCCCAAAGCTGAAGCCATAGCCCAGGAACAAAACCCATAACCTTAAACGAAAGAACACAAGAGAAAACCTGACCTTTTTTAATGCCACTCGTTTATCACCTAATTAGTGTCACACAGTAACAGTTTTGAAGGCTAAGAAAGAGGATCAACCTGTCAAGATGAAATCTCTGCAATTGCTTTGCTTAGTGAATGCGATTGTACCTGGTACCCTGCTGCCCGAGGGGAAAGCAGTGAACGAAGCATTTCTGCTACTTTTATTTCTCATTTATACTGCAAAGTTAACTTCTTAAGTAGCTCTTTGGGACATTAAAACATGTTTTTTTATATCGAGGCAGAATAAACTATGGAACAAGGGTGTGTAGTGACAGGACAAGGGG